GGGGGGGGGGGGGGGGGGGGGGGACTTCAGAAAGTATTCAAATGGTGTAAATTCCGACGACGATCACAGGATATTGAATCATCGCCTCAGCGTCTGAGGTTCTTGAGAACAAAATGACTCAAGAACCAAACTTGGTAGAAACCGCATAGTTCCACCACAGGTCCCTGTGAAGGGTCTGATTCATGTGCATGTCACACAGTGTCTGCAGGCTCCTAACAACTCTTTCACACGTTTGAATATTTTGCACTAAGTGATTCTGTGATTTTCCTTATCATCTGTCATACTTTACTGAGATCTTACATTTCATTCATTAGTCTTAATACATCTTAAAAGAAGAAAACATTGAATCAACACATCATAGAAACTGTTAAATCTTCCGTTATCCTCGTGCTAAACGTCTGGAACAGTGAGCGGACACGTTGTCGTGGAGATCATGTCGCAGCAGAACCGTCCGACCGCTGCGTTAACGCCGATGTTCCGTGTTGTTCAGGATAATGCTGCGGCAGTGGGAGGAGACCCGGGCGATCGCCGGCCAGATGCTGGAGTTGGGCGATCACATGCAGCTGGTGGATTTCGACACTCATCTGGACGACATCACAAAGGACTGGACCAATCAGAAACTCAACACCAAGATAGCGGAGCTGGCGTCGCCGGCCAACGGGAACATCTAGAACTGTAGAACCAGTTTTTACCAGACGTGGATTTATTTATGTTCTCACCCGTCGTCCTCTTTATTTACAAATGTGAATTTTTTTTAAAAATCTTAATTATAACCTGAAAACACCAAACGTTCAACACAAGAGTTTTGGAAGACGTTTATTTTTAATGCTTCTTCAACTGAACAGAGACACGACATAGCTTAAATAAGAAAATCCCTACAGATTCCCCACCCCCGTCAGACTGTGCCTTGTGGTCCAGACCTGCTGATCTTAAGGAAAATCCACCTTTAACACTGTTACTCAGCACCTGAGTATTACTCCTATTTATTTCTCTTTCTTCTCGTTCTCTTTTGATTCTTTACTGTTGTTACTCCCCACAGATATTACATGAAACAGCAGCGGTGGACAAAATAACAGAAACGCGTTAGAGTACAAAAGTCGTGCAGCGAGTTCTCGTCTGCTGAAGCTCAGAAATGTGAGTGTTTGTGGAGGAGCAGGTGATTCCGTTTGAAATCTCTCTCTGAAACTTTTACAGACTCTAATAACGAAGTGTTTTCGTGCCTCACTGTCGCTGCCCTTTGTTTGACAGAGCAGGTTTTTTTGTCCTAACCTGATGTTTGAGAAGCGTTGACTGTGGTTGGAAAGAGGAAACGTGCTACACAGGATGTTTTCTCACCGAGCTTCATAAAAGTCAAAACCAAACTGAATCTCCTGAGCTTCAGCAGATTGTTTTTCACCGCAGGGCTGAAGTATTCGATTCAACACGTTTCTGTTCTTTTGCTGATCTCTCGTTACCCAGATCCGCTACAACAGAGACTGACATTAAAACATTTAAAATGGCTGAAACACATCGGAGTTAAGTGCAACTTTTAAAAACACCAATATCAAGTTTGACTCCTTATGATTTTAAAGTAGTAATAACATGATTCCTAAAATGCACTGAAATGTAGGCTCCTATTTTCTGCCTGTTTCATCAACATTGTGAAACTTTATTAAAAGACGACAGTCACACTACTTGTATTTACACTCACGTCTGTGTTTAAAAAAAAAACTAACAAGAAAAAATAGTAATATGCATATTTTCTATCACTACTGTTCTACTGAAGTACTTTGGGTTATTATCTCAGCTCCTGCTTTAGGTGTGTTTGATTATTTTTTTTTGTGTGGTTATAGTATATGGTGTATATAGTACTAACCCATATAGAATAATATGTCACAAGGTTTCTATAGTGCTGTAGTATAAACACAATTATCAGTGGGCGAAAGCTGTGGTTCCCAACCTTTGACCTCTGCATGTAAACTGTAAACCAGGTCAGACTAAGTTTCTCAAAAACCCTGATTTTAAATTAAACTTAATTAGTCAATTAAACACGAAAGTGAATTGATGTGATTGTTTTGAGCTCTGTAGGAGTCCTGGTCCTGCAGTTGGGAACCACTGGCTTCGATTAAATGATTTAAAGTCACATTATTTATAGAGCGAAGACGACCTCTCAGTTTCGTGTAGTGCTTCCAGTCGACCACATGATCTCTTCAAGATCCTGGATCAGTTTCCAGGAGACAGCGCTCACTCTGTGAGCTCCCGTCTTAAAGTGTTAGAAAGTTAATAGAAATATTTCTTAATTGTAAAAAATATGTTATTACCAGACAAACTGCTTTTTTTTTTTCTTTTTTTTTTACATCTCACATCCAGGGAGATTAGATTTGTGTTTTAAATTTAAAATCATTTTGATCACATGACAAAAGTAAATGTCAGTGTAGGATTGTGGTTGTAACTGTGGGGGGTGGGGGGGGGGGTGTTTTTGGAATGAACCCCTCACGTTGCCTGACGCGTTCAGAGCGTCCCCCACATGACCGTATCAGCCGTCGGAGACGGGATGGCGACCAGGTTCAGGGTTATTTCCTCCAGCGGAGACTGACTGGCCAGAGACTTGAGGATGTTGATGGGGTCGCAGATGGAGCGAGCGTTCTGGACCTTCTGCTCCGCCCACGGCAACGTGATCTACAGCAGAGAGAAACAGGTAAAGGTGTCAACACTAAGAACGACTCTGCTCTCGGGGCTTTCGAGCTTTGGGTCAATTTCTATTTTGTATTTATTTATTTTTTTCTCCGGCTGATTTATTGGAAACTTAATTATTTTCCAAAAATTACAAAAATTAGAAGTTGGAGATAAAAACCGTTGAAGAAAAGATTAAATATAAATGTCGGGCTACATGTTCAGCAGGAGCCTGAAGTGTTGAATTTAAAGTGTGACGGCTTCTTCACCTGAGCGATGATAAGTTTCCTGGACAGATCGTCGTCCGCGATCAGCTCTTCTCCAAAACACAGAGTGAAGCCGCACTGAGGCGCTTCACCTCCATTCGAACAGAAAAGATCCAGCTCTGAACCAACGGGACAGAAAAGGTGAGTTTAATACACAAGAGACGAAAACAAGTGATAAACTGAGTTAAACTAGATTCTGTGTTCAAACATCTGTAAATTTAAACCTGAGCGTGATCGATTCAATGTTTTTAAGAAAGATTCTCGGATTTATCTTCTCGACTGAGGATTTTATCTTGGTCCCATGTGGTTTTGAATTTTCTGACATTTTATATACAAACAATTTATTCATTAACACGTAGTGAATAAGAAAATAGTAAAAGTCGTTCATTTTCTGACAAGAGATTTTGGCGATCAGCTGTAGAAACACTACCCACAATCCTCAGGTGTGAGAGCAGCTTTGGAAATCGTATTGTTCAGTGTTACTTCACGTTTACCACAGAGAGACCATGATTATTTTATTTTGCAATGGTTTATGGGATGTGCAGCTCCACCCTCACCCTCGCTCTGTAATCGGTTGTGAAACAAACTCTTAGCTCTCGGCTCTGATCTGTTCTGACGCTGAGATCACTCACGTTGCTTGAAGGCGTCTCTGCTGAAGAGCAGCACCGGCTCAGAGTCTCTCTCCATCTTGTGCAGCCCCGCCGTGGTCGTGTGCGGCCCCGTCCAGAAGACACGCCCCTGGCAGTACCTCTTGCCGTACACCCCCTGCTGCGTGGAGGTCAGCACCACCCCTTTCTCCATGAAAGGCAGCAGGGTTTGCAGCGCCTGCAGCTCCGGGCCGGCCGACAGCGTGGAGGGCGGCTCCGGCAGAGGGATGCGTGGAAACCGGCCCTTCAGGACGTGAGACGGCGTCGGGGGAAGGAGGGACGAAGGCAGGTACGTTATCCGGACGTCAGGGCCCAGGATTTGGCGTCTGATAACCTCCTGTCCTAGGTAGTGAACCGCCACGTTGATGGAGTCGTGGACTGGAAACACAAACAGACACAAGATGATGCAAACATCATCAACGACTAAAACCGTCCGGCCGCTCAAAGTTCCACTGAACGCACATGCATCTGCACTCTTGTCAGTTGTTTACCTTCTTGCGGAGCAGGTACGCTCTCCTCATACCAAACGTCCAGCCGGATCTCGTTGACCACTGCAGAGACGATAAATAAAGAACTATGAGATGAGGTCAGTTCATTCTCTGACATCGTTTTCGTCCAGTTTCACGTCCGTCACGTGTTAGAAACTAGTAGTGTCGCTGCAGGACAACTTCTGCAAAATGTCCGCAGCAGCCGACTCGATGTTGGTGTTGTCACATACAGAACCTCCAGAGCTCTGAAACATGTTGGTGCCGTTAAACTCACCGTCTCTCTGGATGGTGACGGTGCTGTGCTTAACAGGCTCGTCTGTCTGGACTGTGATGTCACTCTGCTGCACAATGTTGTCATCACAATGAGGAACAGAAAGACAGAAGCGGAGGAGACATGTTTTTAGAGACACTCCCTCAGAGGACAGGAAACTCAGTTCAGTGAAGCTGTGAACGTGAACATTTTTAATTTTGAAATGTGGCACAGCCGCTCCCTCCCTCTTTCTAAGAAACCGAGGAGGACAAACCGGGTCCACCTTCACCGCAGAGTAATGTTTACAAAGTTACCGGTTCACTTTCATTCATTTAAACATTTTTCTTTCCGTTATTTGTCGCCTCGTGATTCGTGTGGCTTCAAGGTCAGGGGACGTGACACACGCGAGCAGGAGAATGTGACGGACTCACCAGCTGAGACGTGGCCTCCTCCTTCTTTATCTGCTTGACGCGAACATTGTGCTCGTCGTCGTTGTCGCTCTCTAACTCGCTGCTCCTCCTTTTCGACTTCCTCGTCGGTTTTTTTACGCTTTTCTCTTCAGGGAGCATCAAACCTGAACAGACGAGAGAGACGATCAGTTGAAAACATATGCAAATAGAAGTGGTTCCATATAAACAAGGATGAATGAGACACGGCTCTTTGTGTTTGTTGCTGGGTGTGTTGGACTCTGGTCTCAGTGTTGACTCATGTCTCCTGGATCCGTTCTCGTCCTGTGGTCAAAATAATACGACCTAAACTGAAACCGAGATTATTTGTAATGACGTGCGCTGAGGGGTTTAAACCAAGGATCAATAATCAAGTGGAGTGAAGTAGTCGTCGTTGAACTTCGGCCTTTTCTTGCTGAGACAACATGCGGCAGCTCAGCAGGTTTATTTGAACAACGTAATTAAAGCGATCAAACACAACATCACAATAAATACAAAGTGATGTTGATTCTGTTTCCTCAGCTTCATCCTGACTTTGCCTCTGTTTGTTTTCCAGTTCTGTTCTCATGGGAACCATAGACGTTCTGAATACATCCGTCAAGTTCACATCTGGAGCTTAATGTCGACGGACAGGTGAGTTTAATGACATGTCGAGTTCTCTGTAGGTTTATAACCCGTTAATAATTTATGATCGATTCATCTGTGAAATCTCACAAAGAGACAGTTTAAATGAAAATAATCTGAATAATAATAATAATTCAGAGCATTTTCTGCACAAGTTGGTAAAACGTTAATAAAACTGTTTCTCAGAGTCGACGGTGACGTCTTCAAACCTTAGTGTTCCAGTGACAACGTGCAACAACCAACTATAAATATATGAATCCGCTCGTTATTCCTTTTATTTGATTGATTAACCGTTGAATCTATGAAATGTCTAAAAAAGACAAGAACATTAAAGTTTCTCAGATTATTTTAAAATGA